TGGTTTAACAGTTCAGTCCAATCACTGAAAGAAGCGCACTCCAGCCACTGTTGCCAATGACAGAGGTCAAATGTTTCCTGTAAGTCCTGTATTTTGGCCCATTCCTCCATGCAGATCTCCTCTAGAGCAGTGATGTTTCCGGGCTGTCGCTGGGCAACACAGGCTTTCAACTTCCTTCACAAATTTTCTGTGGGATTGAGGTCTGGAGACTGGTTAGGCCACTCCGGGGGATGTGTTTGAGATCATTGTCATGCTGGAAGATCCAGCCATGTTTCATCTTCAGGGCTCTCACTGATGGAAGGAGGTTTTGGCTTAAAATCTCATGATACATGGACCCTTTCATTCTTCCTTCAACAAGGACAGTTTTCCTGTCCGCTTTGCAGAAAAACAGCCCCAAATCATGATGCTTCCTCCCCCATGCTTCACAGTAGTTATGGTGTTTTTTGGATGCAACTCATTCTGCATTATTCTTCCTCCAAACATAACAGGTGGGTTTTTTACCAAAAAGTTCCATTTTGGTTTCATGACCACATAATGTTCTCCCAGTCCTCTTCTGGATCATCTATCTGCTCTCTGGGAAACTTTAGGCGGGCCTGGACATGTACTGGCTGGAGCAGGGGGACACTAGAGGGTTTGAGTCCCTCTCGGTGTAGTGTGTTACTTATGGTAGCCTGTGTTCCTTTGTTCCCAGCTCTCTGCAGGTCCTTCATCAGGTCTCTCCCTGTAGTTCTGGGATTTTTGCTCACCGTTCTCATGATCATTTTGAACCCACAGGATGAGATCTTGTGTGGAGCTCCAGATCGAGGAAGATTATCAGTGGTCTTGTATGTTTTCCATTTTCTAATAATTGATCCCACAGTTGATTTCTTCACACCAAGCTGTTTACCTATTGCAGATTCAGACTTCCCAGCCTGGTGCAGGTCTACAATTTTCTTCCTGGTGTCCTTCGACAGGTCTTTGGTCTTTGCCGTGGTTGAGTTTGGATGTGACTGTTTGAGGCTGTTGACAGGTGTCTTTTATAC